TTTCAGATAGGACTTGAATTTGGCTTTTTATACTATACTATAACGTTCAATCCATCTCAGTTTAGCTCTGACTCCAAGTTGAATGATTGCTACTGAGCAAGCATTTACATGGTATTTGTTTGACTCTGCTGGGTTCAGATAAGAGCACAGGTGGAAAGTAAGTAGCTGTCTGGCCTACCTGCTCCACCATTCTGCCTCGTTCTAATTAGCAGTCTTCACTAGCTTCTCCTTTCAAGTGAATTGTCAATTTAACATTGGAGTTAAAAAGGAAGGGACAGCAAGAACAGAAGACATAACAAAGGTGCACAATATTACAGTCCCTCTTTACTAAAAAGAGATATTTCATCTATATAAAAATGTATATATTTATGCAACCAAGGCAGAAAAAACTGCCCAGCTACAGCCTTCTCTGTGCAAGCACCAATAGTTCAAGCCGATGAAGAGACTGAAAACTATATTAGCTATTTCACAACTTGACAGAAACTCTTTTGCTCTTCTGCTCATTGCCCCTGACAAAATGAACACCCTGTCAAAATGTCAGCTGTTCAGAGTCCCCAGCCTTCAGGACAGGCAGAGGACAAGTTGCACTCAGATTTCATTTGGTATCTAGTAATAGAAAGTCATAGCTAACAATACGACTACAGAACAGGAGTTCAATGTCGAAGATTTTTGATTTTGCAACATGGTTCCTGTTTAAGATAGTACTGACCTCAGCAGCCACGGAATACAAGACATAAACAAATACTTCCTCATCCATCTCAAGCAAAAGCAAGCCACATTTGTGCAGCCCATCAACAAAGGTGAATACCACATAAACCAAGAAACTTTGTCACCACTAAAATCACAAACAGGTCAATCAGCAGGGAGGACTATTTGAACAAAGCAGACCCATCTACAACCAAAGTAAGCTAGGTCTGAGAGTATGTTTGTGTACAACCAAAAGCATGTGAAGCAGCCCAAGGCATGTAGGATCTCTGGGAAACCAATCTTTCAAGGCTCACAGAAACCACAGAATAGTTGAGGTTGGAAGGGACCCCTAGAGATTGTTTAATCCAACCCCCCCTGCTCAAAGCACGGTTAACTAGGGCAGCTTGCCTGGGTCCTGTTGAGTTTTGACTATCTCCAAGGATGGAGACTCTACAACCTCTCTGGGCAATCTGCTCCAGCATTCAATCACCCTTACAGTAAAAATTTTTTTCTTATTTTTTAATGGAATTTCCTGTGTTTCAATTTATGTCCATTTCCTCTTGCCCTTTCAGTAGGCACCACTGAGAAGAGTCAGAGAGCCTGACTTCTTTATTTCCCCCTTAGGTATTTAGACATATTGGTAATATCCCCCCAAACTTTCACTGCTGCAGGCTAAACAGTCCCAGCTCTCTGAGCCTCTCTTCATACGAGAGATGCCCTAGTCCCCTAATCATCTTTGTGGTCCTTTGCTGGACTCACTCCAGTATGTCTAATAGTGGGGAGCCCAGAGCTGTACCCAGCCCTCCAGATGCATCTCTCCAGTGCCAAGCAGAGGGAAAGGATCATGTCCCTTGACCTGCTGACAATGCTCTTCCTAACACAGCCCAAATATGTTGAATTTCTTTGTCACAAGGATGCATTGTTGTCTCATATTTAGCTCGGTGTCCACCAGGACTGTCAGGTCCTTTCCCACAAAGCTGCTTTCCAGCCAGTTGGTCCACAGAATGTACCGGTGCACGGGGTTATTCCTCCCTAGCTACAGGACTTGGCATTTCCCTTTGCAGAACTCCATGAGATTCCTGTTTGCCTATTTCTCCAGAAGTCACAATGTACCTCTGAATGCTGGCACAGCCATCTGGTCATCAGCCACTCCTCCCAGTTTTGCAACATCTGCAAACTCACCGAGGGTACACTCTGTCCCATCATCCAGGTCATTAAAGACAATGTTAAACAGTATTCCAGTACCAATCCCTGGAGTACACCAACAATGACTAGCCTTCACATGGACTTCATGCTGCTGAACGCAATACTTTGAGCCCAGCAGTTCACCCAGTTTTCAGTCCATCTCACTGTTCATCTATCTAATCCGTATTTTACCAGTTTGTCTATGAGAACATTATAGGAGACTGTCAAAAACCTTACTAAAGTCAAGATAAACCACATCCCTTGCTCTCTCCTCATCCACTGAGCCAGAACTACTACATTCCAACTATTAAATTTCAATTGGGATTAGAGAGATAAGGCAAAACTATATTTGTACTGAATTCAGAGTTACAAATGAAGAAAATAACCTGAGACTTAGCAAGTCAACAGACCTGCTTCATGCAGAACAGAACTAACTCTCATTTTTTAGCAAAGTATTGTAGGCAAGTATATTCAAAAAAGTTTTTGAAGCAAGACCCATGGGGAATTTTACTGGTGTCTTCAAATTCACAGCTGATGTGCAAGAAGCAATCTGGAGGTGTCACTGATAGCAGTAACAAAACCCCAAACATATTAGAGAGTGAAAGAGATAAAGAAAGAAGCAATTCCAAAATTATAAGCATTCGTGGTAGTCAACTTTCTAGATGCCCGGGTCAAACCACAAGATCCTGAAACTGGTATGTTATTTGGGGAATTCTGTGTACAATTCATTCTTTAACAGCCAAAGGTCCCACAAGATTGTGTACATGTACAAATTAGCGTCTGTGATGAACTGCAGTTTTTAACCTGGATTTAGTCTTCCTCAGAAACTAATGGCTCTTAAAGTATTTATCTCCTTCTCCCTTAATAATGCACTTCCCCCTCCAGCCCCTAATATGCCTGAGTGCTTTCCTGTTCAAGAAAGATCTAAAATGATGGTACTAGTGGCCCTTAATCTCCAAGGGTTTCTGCACCCCAATGGAACAGCCATACTCTTCACAGACAGACCATCTCATTATAACCATTCTGAAGTACTTATTTCTGCTTACAAACATAAGACAATCGTTATATTGTGCTACAGGTATTTCATAAGTGTAATATTACACCACTCACATTTCAAATAAAAAACCCCAAAACTAAAAAGCACAGCACCCCATGCTACTGCTGCTCCCACTAGGGCAGTAACTAAAATAAGAGAATTATCATTTATGTCCCCTTGCCTTTATTTTTCTTCTTTCATAGTCTATTTTTAATTCCTACAGTGACACAGCCATTCGGCTACAGGGCTTATTCATGGAACTGTTTTAGTAGGTATGTCAATGCTTCTTTCTACTTAGAAAACTAAGTCACTGTCTGTATCAATAAATATTTTTCAGATGAGCTGCATCAAAATTTGCCCACAAAGGTCTAACAAGGTCTAAGATATTGAGATTTTGGGAGTTCCATTCTGTTATAGTTGTAACTTTGGTAAAAATGGCCAATGCCTGTTCTCTAGTTCTTCATTTATAAGCTGACAATCTTTACACTAATACTGAGAGTATCATTGTGTATCTTATTATGTGTCCTCCTTTAGCTGCTTTCCTATCATTCTGAAGGGCGCTGCTTGGGGTCACTTTCTAACACAAAAACCTTATTTGAGCCTCAAAATGTTCCCAAACTGAAAATAAAAGCTTCTGTAAGACAAACAGCTCCACAGCCAAAGCTGCGTGATAACTTTTTGAAAGCACTCTTGCAGGTGGATTAGTGCAGAGTGAATTGTGTTAACTTGATCCATCCTTGAAGAAGATTTAATCTAAGGTGACTTTATATTTAGACTAAGATCACTGACGCAATGTATTAAGATATTTCAATCCTGGGCACTGTAACGTACAGTTAAAAGGTATAACAAGTAGCTGAGAAGGTAACTTTTTATGTCTCTAGCTAGAGCTGTAAAAGCTTGCCTCACTCTAGAACATACTGTCTTCTGCCTTCTTTACTCTCACGCTGGTCTAATTATAGAGACTCTGGTAGCTTTATTTTCTATGACACTATTTAAATACTATCTTCCCAGAACTTAAGTACACTAATGATTGGTCATAAAGTGCTTGGAAAGAAATCAAGTTATGCCAAATTACTATTTAGACTGCTTGCAAAAGCAGCCAAAATTGACCCCTTTTTTTGCTACATGTGCCCCTCCTAACATGCTGTTCACTGCAACACTCCGGCCAATTTTAAACAGCATCTCAGATTTATTCCTTGCTTACGTCTTGGTTTTGTTTAAGGTACATTGCCTTAGCCTGCCCACATAAATCTCTCCAGATATCAGCCTTAAAACATCACCATTTCTGTTGTTTACAACCTCCCATCAATTTAATTTTGTTTTTGAACGTCCATATTTTAAGTAGCCTTTTCTCCTGTGAGTTACGATCAAGGATGAATACTTGTTTTACAGCCCCCTTAGAGGAACAGGTTTTCAAAACTGAAACACTTGACCTCTATAATTCTAACACTCTTGAATATGACAAAATCTAGTTGCAACATGACTCTAAAGAGACGAAGGCAGGTAGACAGTTTAGAAACTAGCATGCCAAGAGAGGTGTTCTCTAGAGATGTGGTTCAAGAGGGAGACTAAGGGACTGGGGAAATCACAGCTTCATCACAGGAAAGATTTTCAGAAAGCCTAAAGGAGACAATGACACGTAAGAAAAAATACATATACATTAAAGAGTTTCTAAGCTCATTTTGTAACAGCTCTTCTCCCACATTAACCCTGACTAAAAAACACAGTTGGAAAAAATTTACATTGATCACATATTTTTGAAAAATATATGTTATACACTCAACACACTGAAGTTGATTTGCAGAGTCAACCTGGCTATAGCAAGCATATGTTTCCGTTCATCTCCAATACACTGATCTCAGCCAGTTTAGAATGGGAAACAACTGTGAAGAGCCTAATGTAAGTTTACAGGTAAGAGGGAAAAAAAGGGGTGAGAAGAAATTTTTTTTAAAAGTTTCTCAGCGTTAACGTAATAAAGAATCTCTCGTAGGAAGAAAAATGTAAGGAGAAACTGTAAACACCAGCTGAGATCAGAAATTAAGAGGCAAATGTGATGATTGTTTCAGAAATAAAAGAAACAGCTTATACTTACCAAATTATCAGTTTCTGGATCTTCACAGAAAAAGGGTTTTCCTTCTTTCTCCTGCTTCCTTACAAAATTTTCAATATCTACATCAAAACTAGCAGAAGTTGTACCTTCTGAGCCTTGTGTAGATTGTTCACATTTTTCAAATAATAGTGCTAACAAGGGAAATAGTGGGTGCCTAGAATGAAAGTTAAAATACATGAATAGGTATTTTCACTCATGTGTACACCACTGAAAAGTAAGTCATCTAGCTCATGTAAGAAACAGAAAGCCAAGTTTTGGAAGAGACTGAGCATAACACTACTGACTAGCAAAACATGATGAAAGTTTGGGTTTTTTTCATTTTGATTTACCACACACTCTAGAGGCAAGTAAAGCAGTAAAATATGTGTATTTAAATAAAGAGAACAATCACAAGCTAAAAAGCTAATTACAGCTTAATTCACTGTAACTGAGTGGCAAGAGATACATCAATACAGTGCATTAGAAATGAGGATTAGGATTTACAAATAGTATGAATGCAGATTTAAGTTATGAAATAAAGTCTGATGAAATTCATTTATTCTTCAATGTGGGCCTTACTTATACATCAGAAATAACTTTACAGAACTGAGAATAGTATCCAGGCTGTACTCAGAGGCCTCCTATGAAATTATGTTCAGAGCAGAAGATGGTTTTGTTAGCACAAGTCTGTAAATGAGTAGATACATCTTTCTGCTTCAGGTTTTTGGTTTGTATTTTTTTTTTTTACATGCAAACTGGTAATAATTATGTCTTTATAAAGCACTTAAAGTGAAAGAACACTTAACCTCATCAAAACTGAGCACACTGCTTAGCACAGCACTTAACACTCGAAAAATCTCAAAATTAGTGTGTTTATACATCAACATTTAATCCAGTTTGAGCTAATTACTGGGCAATAGATTGTTATCCCTGAAGAGAACGGAGTAAAGATCGACCTAATTACAACAAAAATAAAATCTCACATTAAAGATAAAAACTACAGTATAAGAAATAGTGACCATAGTTCAACAGCCTGAGTAGCTTGCTAAATTTAGCTTGTGCTTTAAAGGCAGCCACCTTTAGCATATGCTTTAAAACCATGCTGAAATTTAAGAATCCCACAATAAAGGGAAGTTTTTTTTCTTGGCTGAAGACTGACAGTGAAGCTAATTTGATCTCATTCTTTCCCTGGAGACTACTGGGATGATTAGCCAAGAGATCAACTGATTTTAAGCTACTTATTATTAATAATAAAAAAAAATAATCCTCTATTCTTTACCCTTCAGAAGACAGAACACGAGTCCATTACTACCTGTAAATGGCCTGCTTGTCTGCATCCATTGGAGTTTGAGATTCTACAGGGGCAGGACTCACCCCTTCTGCATCAGTTTCAGAGCAGTTGGGATCTTGTTCAGTTTTTAACTCTGTTACTACTTGCATCTGTAGAAAAAGAGTAAGTTATAAGTAAATCTGTATGCTTGACGTAAAATAAGTGTGCTGTTTTCTAAGGAAATAGCAATGCAAAGGGCTACTAAATTGCCAGAAGGTTGGTATGACTTGGCAGTTACACAAAAAGCCACAGCAGTAACAAAACCCCCCTTTTAATCCTTGACACTTTTTGATGGGTAGTATAAAGGTCACTTCCAAGTTTCCACACTCAGCTTTAAAATGGGAATGACGGATATTAGTAAACTGTTAAAGCATTTTGTCTCTGAAGTGGTTATTTTTGGAATAGGCTAGCAAAAAATAAAATTTTTTTTGCTTAAAAAAATTTATGGGGATGTCTACATAAAAAGCCTTTAGGACGAAAACAACAGAAAGCAAAGTTTCTACTCTTAAGTGTTCTTTTTTATTTCTTACTGTACATTATATCAAGATACTGAAGAAAAGAGATCCTGAAGTTTTTCTCGTCCATTAAAATGCACACTTTCTTACGATGAACTGAAATATTCTGTGTCCCTCCAATCTTTCAGTTATCAGGAGCATAACCTCCCCTGACCTTTGCCACTCAAATTTATATATTGTAATAAATTATTTTAGGAATATCAAGCTACTGGAGAAAACAGCAGTAACTGCTTCTACAAATCCATTTAACACACAGTTACACAGTCTGCCACCACTGGAAAAACAACACAGAGCCACAGTTTCTACTGAGCACCTCCTAAATTGCACTAGAGCCTCCTCATGCCTTTGAGGTGCTTTGAAGGTGTTGAAAGTGGTTTTCCCATCACCTCCAGCTAAATATCTTTCAGATTAAAAGGTCTTAAAGGAACCTGACCTCTAAAAGTCACAGTTTCCACACACAACCTAAACTCCTAGGTTTTCTCCCCTTTGAGCAGTGGGAACCCCTGTACAGAGACAACAAATCACTGCAAACTTTTTCTAAGTTAACCCTACCAAGTTTTATCTCGAGTAGAGGACAGACACTGCTCTAGATATGACCAGGCGTACAGAATTGACACCTGCAGAAAGGAAGCATACAGAATGCAATCCTTCGCCCTCTTTTCCCATGAGATGTATGTATCACATCAATCACAGAAACCCTCTGAGAGGAGGGCTGGCCCCCAGAAACTATGAGAGAACCCGACCGACAGAATTTAATCTATTTCCACACAACATAAGCAAACGGAATTTATATTATTTCCAACAAGAAGTCTGGGAGAACCGAAAGGTTTGTGCTTTATTACCTGTCAGGGCCAAGCCACCTCCTAGCAAAATCAGAAATTGAGAAAATGCCAGCATATCCTACCCAACAGAGCAGCCTGCCTGGCAAAAAGCTTCCTCAGCAAGCACAGATGATTTTTAAACCAGAATGCTTGCAAAGAAGATGCAACTAATGGACTAATTTCTTGGCTAATGACAAGAAGGAGGAGCAAAATAAAAGGGGATGACTCATACAAATGATTATAAATGTTGAGCCACACATCTGCAAAGTTTGAAGGGAGAAAGCATGTTCAGTTAGGGGTCTACCTCACTAGAAGGAGGAAATAGCTCATTTAAACCTGCAGGCTATTTTCTGTGGGCCATTTCCAAACTACAAAAGCAGCAGGCACCCAAATTACCTGTCTATCTTGGTCACTGAGAGCTTAAAATACAAAACAAATAGGAAGAAAATGCTCTCTCCCAATCCATTCTTTACAAAAACAAATATTACTTTCATTGAGGTATCACAGGATGGCATGTATTTACTGGGGGAATAAAGTAAAAGATGCAAGGTAGGCGAGAGGAGAGAGAAATTAGAACTGCAATAAAAGAAGCAAACAACAACAACAAATCAATAATCCCAGATTGCATTCAGATAAACATATTTTTATAAGAGATGGGTAAAGTTGCTGGTTTTCCTCTGACTGTTCGCCACTGTTGCCATCTGCTGACAGAAATACTTGTGTTTTCTGCTTAGGGCTGACACATAGTAATGTAAAAATGGGTCTTCAGAGTACAGGCCATGGCATGACTTGTGTCCAGTTAACAGTATTTTAATTTAGCAATTCAAATTGTTGCAATATACAGCCTGTTGTACAAAAAAGAAACATCATGACCAGACATATCTGAGTATGTTTCATTATTCTAGTTGTTTGTTAACAGATGTAAGAAACTGGAAGCCCACTGACCAGCTTTCTAATTAGCAATTCTAATCAATAAGCTCATTAAAATTAATTCCAGTATTTTACCAGTTTTCAGCCTGCAGCATAATTGCATCAACTTAAATGTAGTCAAAGTAGCATATAATTCTAGATAACTAAATTTATCCTTCACTTGCTCAAGACCAACAAGTCTATGACTGCGTAAACATCATCTAGCCATTGTAACTGCAGACATGTAAGAACACTAAAGCATAATGTACTCAAAATATTACAGATGCCCATTTGACTTTCCTAAAAATAGGAACATCACAGCACACAAATCATCTAGAACAGATTCAGAAGAAAACCCCTTACCTAACCATTCTTCCATAAGTTAAGCAAAGTCATGCAAAGATTAGCTAAGCCTTTAATAAGTATCCAAGTATTAAAGAATAGCAGCTTATCACTTTAAAAATCTTGTGTTACAAACAATGCCAAAGCAGGCATTAAGGAAAAAGTCACTACCTTTTTTCTCTTGCTAACTGTATAGAGTTCACAGAGAAAGAAAAACACACCTACCTGTTGTCCATCTTGATAGTTGTCTATACTTAATGTCTGTGTTGCCATCATGGTTAATAAAACATTAGTTATGTCAAATCATCATAAGTATGAACAAATATTCTTGGGGAGGGAGAAAAAAAAAAGTCCATTACAATAGTGACCACTTAGAATCCAGTTCTAAAAGGTGAAGAAGAAAAAAAAAAAAAGAAAAAAAAAAGATTTACGCACACCTCCCCCCCCAAATCAGCGAGTTTCAAGTTTATTGACTATGATAGTTACGTGCATTTTCTCAAGGGGAAAAAAAAAAGTCATGTTGGAAAATGCAACATGTTTCATCAGCAAGAAGTTCACTGTATCATTTTATATTTTAATGTAAGATTTTTAATAAGAAGCTGAGGTTCTTTTACATTCACAAACTTCAAGTAAACATAGCATTTATTTTTGCACTACTTAACTAACATTCTAAGGTAACACATAAAATCTAGAAATGAGCAAAGGTTTATGTTTCTGTGTTTTGAAAAGGCTAACAAGACATTGAGCATTACTGTAACTGAAATAATAATAGTCTACAACCAACAAACCAAATGTAGGAAGTGTTAAGGAATACCCTATTTATTTATGAGTATGAATCCATATTCTAAAGTAGGGCCTGAAATTACTTTTAGAAAACAAAGTCTCAAATCACTTCCAACATCAGGAATCTACCAGCCAAGTCATTTAAGGCTCAACAAAGAATGGAACAGTATCTAACAACTTTTAAACAATTAGGCCTGTGTCATTATACAGTTTCAAAAGTGACCTAGGAATTCAGAAGTCACATTTTCATAGACATTTGATACTTTGGGAAATACTCATTTTATTAATAGGATTTATAACACAAGTAAATTTATGTATGTTATTCCCTCCAAGCATTAGCTGGAGTTTGGTGCCCAGATAAGGTAAACATTTTTTTTTTTTTAATTAAAGTTAGACATCTAGTAATTAAAAAAAAAGTTAGCATAGCACCACCACCAGATAAGAGTTTATCCATCAAATTACCAATTTACATTTCATTTTCTTGTCAGATTAGCAGCCACTACAACTGAAATCACATAATTCATTAAGCTATTACCGTTAACTATTACCATAGAACTCAATTTTCCTTGACAAGTAGGAGTTCTAATATTTAACTACTATAAAAAAAAATTCGTATTAGAAAAGAAGACAGAGCTCATGTCTTGAAAGAGATTACATCCAGGTATTAATTCCAGGTTTTCTGCTCTCTTCCACTTATGTCAGTACTGAAGAACCAAGTTTCAGAATTTTCATCAGTTTAAGATCTGAAACAAAACCTTTTTTCTTTGTAATGTGTTCAATCGCTACAAATATTTCAATTATTTTTAAATCTTTCCTTTGCCATTGCATACTACTACAGTATATGACCATTTTGAAAAGCAATTTTTACATTTCTGGATATCTTCCCCTACAAATTATAATAGTCTCAAGTAAATGTTTCATTTAGGAAACAGAGGACAAATTTCAAGATTCCCTTCTTTGTTTAGTTAACAGTTTCAGGCACAGAGACAAACCTAACTCCTGAGGACAAACCTCAAGCCTTACTTTGCATCAAGTTCTACTCAAAGTGTGATTCCTAAGCATTACTGCAATTTCTTTTTTCTTTTTTCCTTTTTTTTTTTTTTTCTTAAACAGCTTTAAAGACCAGAGAAGTTCACTGGGATGACGTAAGCACGACTTCCTTTACAAGCTGGGTTATTGACTTCCACTCACTCATGCTTAAATGGAGCTGTTACTCTCTGGTAGTCTATGCCATTTTACACACACAAAAGGATCTTGGGAACCACAAATATGAGCAAACAAGAGCAGATCTTGGTTCTGGCATTGGGTCATGTGCTTATGGAGCTGAACAAGTGTCTACCTGTAGACAACACGCACATATCATCTTAAGAAGCTTGTGGAATACTAGCTAAAAGGTATCCTACAGTTTGGGAACTCCTATGCTGAAGTACATTTTTCTTATGAATACAATCTACAGAGGAAAAAGAGTAAAGACTGCCTTTAGAGTTTTTCTAATAGGTTTAATGAAAGTATTTTCTGGTCTGAGTTTGTCTATCCGTCTTTATAGGATATCAGTATCTCTTCCTTTGAAACTCCAAAACCATTTCTGATTTCTCCACCAAAATAATAATTAAAAAACCGGGAATGACATAAATGCATTCACTGATAGAAGTACTTCAGATTTTTAATTTTTTTTTTATAGTTATGAATCATTTAATGTTAAAATTAAACTGGCATTTGCCAGAATAGCAAAGTGAGATATTTTTCAAAATACTTTAAGGGGACACATTCTAAAACATCAGCCCTGTAAGCATTTGCCCTGTGTTTAAACATTCGTTTTCTTTCAAAAATGGTAGCTTACAACCAGGGCATTAATGTCTTTCTGTATAGAGTGAACAGGCACATACAAAATGCTGGTTTTCTTCCTTCTCAAAAGGTGCACATTTCATTTCAGACCAGACTACCCTCAAAATAGAAGTAGAACAGTTGAACAGATCAACAAAGAAAGAGTAAACACTATTTCATGACGGTTTTAGAAGCTGAAGAAGTTCATCACAAAACGCTGTTAAAGAAATTGTTTGGCTGTGGAAGAAAGATGAAGTTCTTTGTCAGAAGTGAGGAAATAAGATGTAAAAGTCACAGAAAAGGAAGAATGTCTTAAGAGTTAGCAAGGATGTGAGATCATATTAGTGACACAAAGAACAACATGGAGAGGGAAGCAACAAAGATAACACATGTAAATGGGTGAAGACAATAGGACATGGCAAGAATTTCTGGATAATCAGACAACCTGGACCAACCCTTCCTTCCAGTTTTCCATAAGGAAGAACACATTCCACATCTGGAAATCCCTCAGGCCACACAAAGGAAGAAAGAGGTGCACAGCTTTGAGCTAGATCCATAGATTATTTCATCAAGAAGGACTTTTGCCCTATTCTCTCCCAGGGGAATGGCTAGAAAGAATACTGCATGGGTATATCCTTCATTTCTCATAAGAGCTTCCCCTCTGACTTATAATTACAGTAGAAGAAGATTAAGCTATTAGGCAAGATAGCAACTGATGAGATTTAGTGAAGACAACTACTGCAAATCAAGAAGAACAAATTGAGCTAATCACATACTTAAATTGAGGCAATTAACTGAGGAATTACTTTGGTTCACTAAAGAGAAACATCTCATTACCCAGTAGTGGTAAGAAGCAAACTATGTTAAACTTTAAGAAAAATAACTGAAAAGGTATTTACACATTTGGCTTTTATAACCTAATTTAGGATACAACATCCAGTTCTAGTTAGCAGATACACAGCCTAAGCAGATGTTCATTCTGCAAACAACGGTGGTAGATGAAGCTGGTATCGCTCCCAGATGTTTATCACTGCCACCCTGCCAGAGCTAATTACTTCCACAGCTCTACCACTGAGCTCACAGAACATGTGAATGATTCTGATCCTTTTTACATAAAGTCAGTTAGGCTAGTTCAACCCACTGTTAAAGGTGGCTATGATGTAAACCAGCTGACTTTGTCTGAAGCATATTGCTGTGCACTCATACAACCCCTGCTCTTGGCTGACCTATTAGTGTGGTAATTTCTGGCTCATGTGTGGCGATTATCAACTCACAGCAGGACCATCTTTAACCAGAACAGCTATACCCAATACTATATGGACTAAGGTATCTGAAGTAAGCCTAAGAACATATGACTTCTAGACAGCTTAACGTTAAAAACGCCAATTATTCTTTGTTAAAGAAATCGAGAGTAGAAGGAAAACTGTGCATTGATGTTACATTCAAAGAGTTACAAATAACAAAAACAACCCGAGGCTGAGAAAGTCAGCTAGTCTTCTTCATGCAGAACAGAATTAACTCTCATTCTATTTATTTTGAAAGTAAATTGTGAGGAAAACCCAAGGAAACGTTTAAGGTCATGTAAACTGGAAGCTGATGCATGAACTGCAATCAGAAACTCCATTGATACCTGTGGCAAAAGGGAATTTGTAAAAGCATTATGTTCTGCAAAACAAAGCAGAAGGAAAAAAAAAAATCAAGCCTTTAATAAAAATAAGCATGAAAGTAAAACAGAGAGTAGAAAGGAAGCTAAATTAAGAGGGGTGATCATAATTAGAAATGTGGATTCTTTGTGCAAGTTAAGGAGTATCTAAGAGAAGAGATTATAGGTGAGCTGAAACATGTACACAAAGTGATCACTTAACATACATCACTCCTCACTTGCTCTACTCCTTCATAATTAAGAGCAAAGGGACCACCCAGTAACGTTAACATAAGGTGCAAGTAAGCTGTTGGAGTTCAGTAATATCATTTTTAACATATACAAGCTACAACAGATGTTTGTAAGAGATATAAATAGTTATGCTTCAGGGTATAAACTAACCACTAACCTTCTTAGGGTTGTGAAGAAACTACCCAACAGACTTGCTAACAAGTAATCGTTCCTTCTAATTTTCCCCTATACACATTTCTTTGAAGTCCTTCATGGACAACTGGCAGATTCGGCATGGCTATTTGTTCATTCTTATTTAACTTTAGGCCTGGCACTTGCTCTATAACATAGATTCTTACATTCACAAAGTTAAAAAGAAACAAAAATCAAAACAGCAAGCCTGTTTGACATACGAAAAGCATCTAGAACTGCCTTCACTTTTCATCAAAATACAGTGATATTTGCTTCCAGGGCACGCTGCTTTCTAAAGGAGATAAAATATTGGCCGCGAGAAAGCTGCTCACCCCTTTCCTTCAATGGACTGAAGATAACATTATCTTGTTCCAGCGGAGTGATCCCACTAATGTACAACGTAGAGGACAGAAACCTAAAAATCAACAGAGAAATATTCAGGAGACAACAACATAGAACATATTTTCTTTAATCATATTCAGTCTCAGAAAGTATTTTGCTTATGATGTGGTTCCCTCCCTAAGTTTAAATAAACTGACAGGATTTTTTGTTGTTGCATGTTTTGCAAAGGGTTTTTTTGCATTTTTAATAATCTCTAATCGCACTCACTATCCCATGCTATTATTTGAACTTTCCCTCATCTTATCCCATTCATTCTCCATATTTATCTTTGTCTTTGCTGATACCTCTAACAGAAGGCTACATTTGGACTGCTAACTTGCTTGCTGTTCATCCTTCATATTTTACTCTCTGGCTCATGTCTGTCTGCTTAGATTAGACGAGACACATTCCCAAAATACAACTACAAAATGCAAAGAGGAATAACTCAACAGTGTTGTAAAAATTAAGCATGAAACCAAGAAAGGTGAAAGCCTTTTTTTTTTAAATTTAAATCTCCTTCGTAATCATGCTTTGATTTTACCATGGAATATATTCTAATGATGGCTATGATCAAGTAATCTACTACATGATAAAAACTAACAGACTATAGGAATGGGTGTGAGCCATTGTTAGGATCACATGTTCTGCGAAGACAGGTTCTGCTACAGGATTATTCAGCAACTTTAAAAAGCTTTCAAAATATTACCACTTAAAATTACTTTAATTATATTTAATTTAATAGCACCTGTTTGATATATTAAAGCTACTTTTAAAAAGCAGTAGTGATTGTGAAAGAAAAGTAGCAAAGATTGTGAAAATGTATTTAGAAAACACAACTGCTCAAAAGCATTATAAAAAAGCCTGCAAAACTATCTCAGGGGAAGTTCCAGACACTAATGTTGCACGAAGGCCGTCTGAAATGATATGATGGCCAAAACACACAGCTGAGATCTTGAATCAGATTATCTCTGTTTCTCACCTAGTCAACGTTCCTGCGTTCCCATATTTACCAACTGCGTAAGAACTGTAATGAAAGTATCTCCAACATTTTTGAAAGCAAGATGAAGTTGGTATTTGCATTTGAGAACCAAAATTTATCCATGTGTAGTGTACAAGTAATGTTTTTCAGACAAGTTCACATAAAAACAAAATGCTAAGGGCCACTCAATATAGACGCCATTGCCAGTTCATGAAACCTAGCTCTAAAAGAGCAGGGAAGATACACAGGAGTTGTAAGACAGTATAAGCTTCAGCCATTGGTTAGAGGTGAAATACTAAGCCAGAAGGAGTTTCAGTCCAAACTGATACTGACCAAACTGAGGTCTTGAAGCCTCAAGGGGCAGATGACACAAAAAAAGTTCTTACCACTTTCTCTTAAACCGCCAAAGACCTATGTCCCCAAAGAATCGGCTTCTCTCATTTTTGCAACTTCTTAATTCTGAGAAGACAGTGTACCCTTTTATCCCCTTCTTCGCATGCTACTTATCTTCTATAATTTTGGTACTCATTTTCACCTACCTCAACTTCTTAGGCTATTTTCAAATAGATGACTTCTCACTATTCATAGTATCTTCTGAATGGAGGTCACTGCCAAATAAATTGGGATTATCTATTCTTTGTCTCTCCTCAGACATAAAGGAGGACTACTTCACCATTGCAAATCTGAAAAACCTGCTCCCTTCATTCAGAAACAACTGCAACAAAGGACCACTGCTGCCAGATCTGGTCAGTCAAAAATATTTCATGTATGAAGAAGCCCTTGCCTGCAAAGCCTTCAGCTGAAACTGTGCAAATAGGCAAGTTTCTAGACAGTGTATGAGATATCAAGGGCAGAAAGAAAGAGGTACTGAAGAAATGCATGCCCAGGTGAAAGATGCTGCAGAGGAAAAGGTTTCACTGAGGAGCCAGAGGACATTGCAGTCATATTGCCTTCTTCCAAGAGACACTTGGCAGCAAGTAAGACTAGAGTCTACCCTAGAACATACCAGACAAGAAAACAAAGAGAGATCCAAGTTTGCACGTTATGTCCTCCTGTATATCTCAGTGGGGACAAGAACATGGAGACAACACCAAGGCTCTGTGGAGCCTGAACTCGGAACCACTACTGCTTATTTGTTTTTTCCTTTTATTCCTCTGCAGACAAGCTTTAAAGTCATGTTATAATAACAAAGAAGATATTTAACTATGAAACAAAAACCAAGGGCAACTTGGTTTGTCTCTTAAAAAGCGTATCACGATTGGAGTTTTCACTACAAAGTAAAATATGACCTTGTGCATTCAAGCGTAGAACCCTCTTTTGAGTCATTCTCTCATTTTGCATGTCAGCTAGTAAGAAACAAAGACCTGTGCATACATTCACATATACAAATATTAGCAGACATTAAGATCAAGACACATTTGTATTTTTATAGATGCAAATAATAACATAGAGTATACATGCAGAGTATGTATGACAACATGCCATCAGGGATTCATTCTACCTTTGCTGCAGTGGTTATCTATTTCCAACAACCTGCCTACGAAGAGACATTCAGTAAAATTAAGACAAGCAAATAAATATGAAGTTGATGCATACAAGTTTATTAAAGCTGTGCTCAATGAGAATGTACTCCTTATTCAGCAGCAAGGTGGCTTCCATTTCCTCTATCTTATGTACTTACAAAGTATAGTCATTATTTAGAATATTATACTTTTAGGAAGATGATGTTCCTGTTCAGGAATATAATACCAGCCTCAGGGAGTTGCACTACACAGATACAGTTAAACAGTTATTACACAATAGCTATGCTGTCAATTTCCCTGGGAGACAAGGCCTAAAAAGCCACAAAACCAATTTTCAGCTGCAGTAAAATGAGATTTACTTTGTGTCACTTTTTTCCCTTTTATTGTTTGTTGGTGCAATAAAGTTATTTATATATTAATCTTGATGAATATGAGATTACATTAAAAAACTGAATGCACGTTATACTTTAAGAAACTGAAAGTTAACAATAAATTAAAACCCATCACTAAACTTATGTTTCTTCAGAAATACAAGCTACACTACAAGCTATTACCAACCTTTCTTTGCCTGTAGGATTTTAAGCATATATACTACGTAACACTGACTTTATTCAGCAAGACCTCTTCAACACTATATATACTGCTTTGTTGTCCCATTAATCCTTCATAGCATCCTCCTTTCATATCATCCCATTTCAGAACTTAACAAGCTATACAAAGTATTTATATCACAGACTATCTTCGAAGCATCACCACACAATGTCACAGAGCATGACAAACAACAAACCATCTCACAGAAAGATTTGCATTCATTTACCAATTCACTCTGTGTAAACTCTGCTTTCAGAATTTTAAAGGAATTCGGGAAATTCTCCCATTTGCAGGTACCAAATATGAAAAAAAGTATTATAAAAAATGTGCCACTTTACAAGCTAAAATTACATATGCAGTAACTGATAAAACCGATATTAAGGATGCATAAGATAATATAAATTTCTCAAGGCACAACAACAAAAGCAGAATTAAGGGCACCTGGGTCTCTTGAAGAATTTCAGCTCCTTAACTCTGCATATGACCTTTGCCTTTACACCAGCATATTTCTTGGGAAGCATTCATAACCATGGTTCACATTCATGGTTCATGTAATCGCTCATTTACCACAGCACATCTTAACAACAAGGAAGATAAAGATGAGAAATCCTATCCAATCTAGTCATAAAATAATGTCACCTCAGCATGCTAGGTATCCTGCCTCCAGGTAGCTCTTGGCATTGCAGAAGGAAATCCTCAGGCTGCTCTCCTACCTCCTGCAAAATGAAAACCTCATTCTTCTAACTATTAAAAAGATTCTTAAATTCAAGAAACTTCTGGCAGCATCTCAGTTTCGCCTACCTATTTCACACTGTAATTTGACCCTGCTTTATTAGCTCCATAAAGTAATAGTAAAGAATTAAGGGGACTAAACAGAAATTTTGGTAAAAGGGAAACAAAACTTGCAGGAAAGGAAACCCCCCTTCTTTAATTGCTCCAAGAGTTCCAAGGGATTAGGGTACGAGGGAGCAAAAATATTTCCCATCACTCCCTCATCCATCCCAAATATTCACATAGTAAATGAAGATTCCTTTAGGGTTTGGGGTATTTTTCTGTATTCGTAACACTGCAAACTGAAGGACTTTTTACAGTTCTTGCTTGTGAATCCTAGCATACACATCATGAATCCTCACACATTATCTACCTGTCACAGGGCAGAGAATTATTTTTTGCTCCTCACTATTTAACCAATGTGCTGTTATCATAACATTTTAGACCCAAAATCAAGAAGATACTACACTATCTGCCTTGCTGCTATCGTGGTAAGAGGACTGCATTAGAAAGACTACCAAAACCCCCTCACACACCAGGGGACATGTATCAGCAATTCCACAGCTGGACCTCATTCTGGTACAACTTTCCTACTTAATGATATTTCATTACTTTTTCAAACACGATGTAATTTAAAAAAAAAAAAGAAAGAAAGAAAGAGAACTCCACCCTCCACATTTCCCCAGCATTCCCTACATGGATAAACAACAGGTTTGCATATGTGCTAGACACAATTCCACTCCCTTGCCACTGAAGCCTTTGGAATATCCACACAAGTGTGAGTGAATCTCTTACTTCTGGAAACGCTCATTTTATCATATCCTTCCAGGCGAATTAAACCAAAGCAACGGGAAATCCCATTTTAATCATGATTTGTATCAGCACCCAATAAACTATGACTCAAATTAATCTTGTTTTGTGTTTATACTTTGCGGTTTCATAAAGAAGACACAGAATAACTACCAATCTCACTATGCTTTTATTGCTGTTTAATACTTTACAATGTTAGCAAGCAGTTTATGTAAGCATATGTAAGTTTTCCAACATTTTTATTATAAAACCATAGAAATTTCTAATGATTCTTTCTATGAAAGACTGAATTCCTAATGCTACTGAAGCACAGTTAAAGGATGAAGAAGTTTTATTTAACTAATAACTGCATTTAAAATGGACTGAAGACGTTGAATGCAGAAGAAAATCCCCTCTACACATTTTTGGCATTTAAACACTTCATCAAGATTAAGATGTTCCACTGTCAATTATTTCATTTTTATGTCCTTTATGATTTCAGAAATAACGAGCCTGTCAATGAACCAAGCATTAACTCAGACTAGCTGAATAAACTAAAGTGACACAAAATCCTGGTCCTGCAACCCTCTGTCAAATCCAGTTCCAACTGGTCAGTAACTTTCTCAGAATCTTCCCTCTTTTGACTCTAACATTTGGTCAAACATGAACAACTTTGTTTTGCTACTAAGTTTAGGCCCTAAAATGAACTGTTATTTTATTTTCAAAATGGTGATTAGATAAAAATTATTCCTTTCCTGCTCCACTTTGTCCACAACTCTTTAGTAATAGTGAAACAGAAGCAATCAGGTCAACTAGGTTTTGCAAGGAAGATGTGCTGTGTTCTAGCCTCTTCTGTTCCTGCTGCCAACCTTCTTCATGCTCCCTTACTTTTCTATCCACGTTCTTTCCGCTCTTCAGCCTCGTACTACCCTTCCCCATTGTTCCTTCCACACCAACATACAGCTTGTCCTCTTTCTCACCTCTTGCCCTCTCTCGTTCCCCCCACTTCTGACCATTTGTCATTTTGCTAGTGCCATCCTTTTCAGGTTTCAGGGCCTACTGCATTTTCACCAAGCTTCAATCTCTGTTCCCCACCTCTCCCCAAACACCAGTCTTCATCCCTCCACGAGTACAACTGCTGCCTAAGCATTCTGGGGTTGGCGGAGAAGCACAGATAAAGAAAGACTATTTAGGATTAAACTTACCCATCACCTACTGCTGTGGGATGCATCATGCATAACTACTTGGTCCAGATGATGACTGCACAGTCAGGTGACATGCAAGGACCAACAGACAGGAAGATACTTGTGTTACATGGAATATTCAGATCATTTAGTTAATAAATATTTGCTGAGTAACATGTGCGAACCAGTTTTTCAAGAGCTTATGATTTGTTGAAGTTTCTCGAGGAACAGCCATATGCTCCATGTGAATGCTTACGCTCTCTTCCCCTCTCTCCTCTGCAATGCTAAATTCCAGAACACAAGTGTTGATATGCTCTTAAATAAAGCAAACAAGCATTCCCCCACTCCCCCCTTTAAATTAACATCTTTACTTTCTCTTAAAGTAATTTTCAAAATGCTATGTCATTTTAGCTTAAAGTTTCCGGAATAACCCTGCTCAAACATATTTATCATGGCAACTTCCAGTATGACTAAGAAGCAAGCTACTGAAAACACCACCTCAAAATAAAAAAAAAGTTAACCAGGTAACTTTACTCCTGGCATTGCTACTGTCATGGCCTAGAACACACAAAAATGGGCTAGAACACATATAAATTCAGTGATCACAGACTGACCTGGAAGTGTAAGTTCTTTAGTTACAAAAATATAAGACAGCACATACATTTTCTTTCCCCTATTCTCTAGGCATGTTAAACACGTATAAAGCTCCAGTTTCTGTTTTATAACCACCTCTGTTTCCTTTGAATATAAAAGACTAAGACTTCAGTTTTTAGTAATAAGTATTATAATATCCTTTCCCCTTTGTTTTGTTTGCTATGTAATTTGAAAAAAGCTAAGCAGGATGTCAAGTGTAGCCACATTTCCTAACTTCCTCTGTCCTCAAGAAAAAACACAAGGCAATCCCAAAAGCTCCCAAATAAAATATAAATTGGAATTTGGTGGTTTAAAAAAAAATGGATCCCTCTTAGTACACCAGCAGTAGGCTACCATATTCTACTTTTTTGGCCTGAATGTACTGTCAGCTGCAGAAGATTACAGTTACAGACCCACAGGTACAGCAGGCTAAGGGACAGTACATGCTTATCACAGTCAGTTAGCTCCCATTTTCAAAAATGATCTTTTGACTGTCTAAGTACTTAAACGGCCATCTGTTTAACAGCAAATACCTCTTTTATAGACATATGTAGAGAAAAAATGAGAACATCATGGCCAGGAGTAGATGCTATATTAAAAACAAACAAGCATGTTCATATGAAGGATGATAAGCAAGCATGTGACGACAAAGAGACTTAAGTTTTATTTCCACTTCTAACGCTGACTTCCTCTTTGTCCTTCAGTAACATACACAACTTGGTATCCTCATGCTGCTGGCAGGGGAGCCAAGTTACTGCCCTTTACCACCTTCATAAAAACATGCCAGTATTCCATTAATAACAAAGATTGGCATTTCCAGATTCTTGGTGTCATTATTTTATACGCTAGTTCCATTTGACGACACCCGTGTTCCACAGTTACAACATGAAACAGTCTTATTAAACAAAGTGAAGAACCTGCTAACAAACATGAATACTTCAGCATTCAATTATCTTGGGGAGAGCTATAACAGTCTCGGTAAAATACTTTGGTAACATCTGGCACCAAGTAAGCAAAGGAAAGAACTCTATCAGCAGCTTTTTTCCTTGCTCTTGGAATCCTCTTGCTTAGAAGAGCAATAAGTTGTCTTACATTTTGTACAGCATTGAGCTGTGGTAAAATATCACCCCCCAGCCCCCGCAGAGACTTATCATTTATAAACCTACATACCCTTTTAACAAGTGAGACTGAAGCAACCAGCTGCTGCAAGAGAGAAGTAACATTTGTGGAATTTTAAATTTCACAGAAAAAAAAAATTTCAGTCTTACTTACACCAAAATAAAAATATTAATCTGCTTTATTGTAAGCTTTCATCACATGTGTGCCAGTTTTGCAAAGGTAACATTTGGCTCCCAGACCACTACATAATATTCTGAAATACAATTTGGACTACATCTCTCTTCATTCAGGACATTAGCACAGCCATTAGAACAAGCAGTTCCACTATCACAGCAGTGGTTCTGTGGATCATTCACCTTTCACCGTTAGTACAGGGCTTAATGACAGCAAAATAGTTATTCTTTTCCAGGAAATTTAATTGCTCCTAAACACTTCTAAACTTGCTGTGGTAGCAATCAGAATTATTATGAGTTTATTACAGCACTGCATTTACAGTACAGGGAAAGGTATGAGAAAAATACAGTCAAAAAGCAAAATTTTGAAAAAGAAAGTACAGCTTTTCTAGAAGATATATCCATTTTATAAGACTGAAGTATTTAGAACAAACACGTATATTTCATTCATTCTAAACTCTTTTCAGTTGCACTAATGGAACACTGCAAGGACTTAGTTTTTAAATGTTTTTATCTTCAAAAGATAAACTGAATCTTAAAAATTGTATCTAGGTTAAGAAAGAGTACAAATCAAGGCTGTAAGTTATTTAATATTAGACTAACTTTTTACATACCAAAGTGAAATTTCCAAATACAAAATAAAACCCCAATCAAGTGTAACAACATCATACACAAGATTCGAAGAATTCTCAGTTTTCCTATTAGCACATAGGAAATGGTTAACAAGATAAATTCCAGTCCAGCAAAGCACTTTAGCTACACGATAACAAGACCCACTTCAGACATGAGACAGGTATTAGTATTCAATTTATGTAGAGAAGGATACACAGGCACAGATAAAATAAATGCATGCCCCAAAATCACTCAGGAGACCAATGAGAATGATCAGTCTTCAAGGTCTCAGTGCAGTGCAATGGCCTCTAAGCTACCTATCTTTACCATGGGAATGAAGTAAATGGTGCTATGCCTTTCACCACTTAACTGAAGCTTACGTTAAGAAAACACAGTGAAACCTACACTGAGGTTTTCCTGTGGATACTTTAACCATAAGTTGACAAGGAAATAAGTAAAGTGGTAACAGTCAACAGTAAAAATATACTATGCACCTCATAAAACTGAAGACAGAACACACATAAAAAAAAAATTAGAATTACTTACTTTGGATAGATTAAAAACAATGACAGACCAAGAAGTGTGAAACTGTTTCTTCAGACTGAATAAATGTGAAATGTTTGGGGTTTTATTCCTCACAAGTTTTTGCAAACTTAAATGTAATGATTATATATGGCTACACACAGACTCAGAAAAGGATAACTCTGCAATTTTATTTTACAGAGCTATTTAGAAAATGCACTCAAAATGCATTTGCTGTTGCTTGGTACTCTAGCAATGACAAGAGCTGGAAATACATAAAAGGATTTCTGATACAAGCACAACAATTTGTTTCCTGGTTCAGCGTAATCCATAAAATTTGTACATGCAGCTAACAGGGACTAACCAGGACTCATTCTTAAACAACACTTCAGCGCTTACCCAGCTGCAGAACCTATATCACTTTAACTACATATGTATATAACCAGAGGGATATAACCCCATAGCACAGCCAGACCATAACCAGTTTATATCCCACAGAGGAAAGAGAGCAATCTGTAAGTGTATTCACAGTACGGAGAATAGCAAGGTGCATAAATTTCTTAAGCTATAGTTGTTACAATTCCCCTAATCAAACAATCTACACTGGTGAAACTTTGCACAGAGCATGCTCTAGAATAAAATTATATGCAGTATTATGAACTAACTATATGTGCATGTTTTTGTAACGACCAAGAATTCTTTAGCTTTTTTAAAAAAACAATTAGATGAGATATTTAGCATACACTGAAAATGGTCTACACCCTCCTGTTATCCTCCATAGGATGCTGGCTCAAATGTTTTCCAGCATCCACAGACGAGAACATATTGTCCGCGCTCCCTATTCCTGTGATCTGTTTAATGGAATGCACACATCATATTCCAAATAGGGGCAAGGACAGAAATGAATCTTGCCTGGACAGCTCTTAACCGCATGTGACAATTAAAAAAAAAAAAAAAAAAAGAAATTTATTGCATGGCATAAAAATTCACTTATAAGGGTATCATACCAGATCTAGAGTCTCATTCTCCCTCCCAAAACCATGCTAGTCATTTACTTAGATGTAACTGACAAAAAGGCATCACAAACTGCCACCACAGATTTAAAAAAAAAAAAATAATACCGTGACTGCAACTCTAAATTACATTATATGTTCCCATTTAGGATATGAGAAAATAATTAAGAAATCCTAAAAAAAAAAAAAAAAAAGGACTGTGATAAGCTATAGAGAGAAGTGTCACACAGATGCATCAACTACTTATATTGTTAACCGATGAACTCTGGGCCATACAGCTGGCGTTGTGGGAATGAGGGAAAACTATCGACTGCTCCACGGAGACCCAAGACATGTGGCTAATTGAGGCAATATTTCAGGATAAAACCAGCACTTGATTTATTATTGTTTACACACATCATAAGCAGGGCCTCTGGGCAAGTCAAGTTTCAGCTCCTAATTGCGGCTGTGTAAACACTCAGGAAGCCTCGGTCTAGGTGTCAAGAAGCCTCTGCTCGTAACCGAGGCAAGAGACAATGAGGTCACATCAAAAATATAAAAAAAAAAAAAAGAAAAAAGGAAGAAACCACCTCACGCCAGAGCTGCGCACACTGCCCCAAGTGCCAGCCGCTAACACAATCTGCTTTCTATGAATAAGAGGGAAGGCGGCAGGGGGGGGAAGCACAGCCACAGACGCGCCAGACCCCGCTCTCCCGGGGGCCGGACCGGGCTCCGCCGCAGCGCGCCGCCACCGAAGCGGCATCAGGGCCGGGTCTGGGGGTCACCCCCGCCACCCACCCCCCCCCGCCCCGGC